CCCCCCAACAACATTCTAAAACAGAGAAGGGGTCAGAGGAGTAGGAAAACTACTTTGGCTAAATAGAGACCCTATGCATCTGCACTGGGGAAAGCCTAGGCCTCTAATTATAGTGGGAATTTCTGACTAATGCTCAGTCCTACCTGATTCAGAAATGATGCGAGAACAATGGCCAAGTGACTATCAGTGCCTCCAGGGTGGCTTCCATCACGGCATAGTGTCTGTCATTGCTCAGGTTTGTTCTTTCCCACCGAGAATCTTCAGTTCGTGTTGATTTTTAAAGTCATGACTAAACATAAAATTCCCTCTCCAAATGGAGAGAGTCCTGTGGTTCCTTCCTATATCTAGAAGAGGCCCCATCCCTCCTGGGGTCCAATGAGCCTGCATTGTTGCAGTGTGTTAAGCTAACCTAGGACTTTCTTGGCTGTCCTCTGGCTGAGAATTGAGAAGGGAGTTGGTGGTTCCAAAGCGATCCAGCCTAGGCTTCAACTCTTCTTGGCTTGGAATAGGGGTTCTCTACTATGGCTGCACCCCAGAATCTCCTGCAGAGGTTCTAAAACTTGCCCATGCTCAGATCCCGCCTCTGAACAACTGACTTAGAATCTCGGGGAGGTGCAGCCTGGACATTGGTCTTTTAAAGAAGTTTCTCCAGTGATTCTGTGTATCCCAGTTGAGAACCCCTGGCCCAGAATAAGACTGCAGTCCCCACATGGATCTCATCAGAGTTTTAAATCATCAGCCTCAGCACAGATAGTGAGGAGAGGTGGCCTTACAGAAAATGAGTCTGAAGAAAGGGGTGCTGAGGGTTCGCTGATGGCCTGAGAAAGGGAAGACCTCGGGGTGGGGGGGGTCTTCAATAGGAAGACCAATCAATAGGAAAACCGTAATGGCTGTGGGAGGTGTGTCTGACAAGAATGAGCAGAAACTCTAAGCTTTAGGATGGATACTGGGCAGGTGAGTTGATTGACAGATGGGATGTGAAAGGTCTGACATCACAGAGAATGTGGCAGTGGTTGCATTTTACTTCCTACTTTGGCAGCGTCCATGCTTTTAGATTTATCTGTCAAATGAAATCCTCTCACCTGGCCCCAGCTGGAGAAGGCCCACTCCACGCAGAGCTGTTGGTTACAGGCCTGGGTGTCTACTGGCCGTTTGGCAAGCTGGGTACACATGTCATTGGACACAGGAGTGGAGATTCCAGAGGCTTTCAGCTTCTGGCAGGTCACCCGGCGGGTCTGGACACCTCCCCCACAGCTCCGAGTACAGGCAGACCAGGAGGTCACCATCCACCTGGGGAGAGGGAGAAGAATCAGGGCAGCTGCTGAGGGTCAGGCCTTGGACAGAGGAATGATGCCATATGTTCTCAGAAAAAGAGCCTGTACATCCCTCTGTTCTTATCACACAGCTACTAGTACTTTTCCAAGGTATACATGGAAGACTGAAAATGGTCCCCCAAAAGAATCTACATCAAATTCCTGTAAATGTTACTATATTTGGACAAAGGGTCTTTAAAGGTATAATTAAGGACTTTGAGATGAGATTATCCTACATTCACTGTCATCACAAATGTCCTTATAAGAGAAAGACAGAAATTAGAGAAGAGGAGGAGACCGTGCGACCGCAGAGGCAGAGGCCGGAGTGATGTGGCCACAAGTCACAGGATGCCCGGAGCCACCAGAAGTTGCAAGGCTCGAGGAAGCTGCAAGGAGTGCCCCTCTGCTGACATCTTGATTTTGGACTTCTGGCCTTCAAAAGTATGAGAGAATAAACGTCTTTTCCTTTAAGCCACCATGTTTGTGTTAATTTGTAATGGTAGCCGCAGGAAACAAATAATCTTTGGAAACTGACTACAAAGCATCTTGAAAGAGTAGTCTGAAGATCAGTGGTCTCAGCCTGACCCTGGTCCCAAAAGCCGTGAGCCTGCAGGTAGAACTCTCTGAGCAGACAGTCCTTTAGGTAGTTACACTGCACTGGAGTTCTGGTACTTCCTAAAGCCATCCAAGTATGTGACAGAAGAGGGCCGGTTTCCTAGGGAAGTCAGACCCAAACTGTGCCACTTCCTGACCCAGGCAGTAATCTGGCTCTCACTGAAGTCGACACTTTATCTGCTGGTACTCACTGTATTTTCTCCCTTGCCTTAACCCACATGCCACTGGATTTTGTTTAATCCCTGAGAAACATGCAAAATTTATTCTAGCTTTCTGGAGCAGTCTCCCACCTCTCCCCTCCGTGGGTCACAGTCTATAGGTCTTACACCTCTTCGAGGGCTGCACGTGGCAAATGTAGTTCCTCTCAGAATGTTCTCTTCCAACTACAATTGGGATCCTTAGAGGTGAGATTGACTGAGACTGTGCAAACGGCCTTTCTCATCAAGCCAAGCTGTAATCCAGTAAACACTCTGAAATCCTCGGTCCATATATAAACCTGCAGGGGCTCTCTGTGCATGTTTGCACTGTTAGTTCTCAAAGAGAAGGGGAAGGAGGCACAGTTTGGGGGAAAATAGTGAGAAAAGACCTGGTGCTTTCCAGCCATTTTATTCAATCTAGGGAATAACCAATCAAATACCCACCCACCCACCCACCCACCAAAACATTCTTTGGTTTTATTGCCCGAGAAAAAGTTTATCTAAATGAAATGGCTGACTAGCTACCTGGGTCAAAGCAGGATCTCCCAGCCCTATTCAAAGACAACCACGGCGATACTTGTTTGTGTTCAAAGAAGGCTACTGAAGTGCCTGAGAGGCCTGGCAGGGAAACTAGTCAAAGGTAAGCCTGTGGCCACTTCCTACTCCAGTGGCGCCACATCTGGCTCTCAGGAGAGGCAAGTAGCAGAGACAGGGAGCACATTCCTCTTGAATCTGGATCTGTGACTTATTTAGTTTGGTGGAACTTCCCTGCTCCATTTGCCCTGGAGAGAGATGACTGAATGCAGATTTCCAACCCACAGGAGCAGAGCCACTTAGGAAGCAGGCACGAGGTGTTTTAAAGCTCCTGGGGGCACTGAAACCCAAGCAGACATGGCCATTATTTCATTTGCAGAAGTAAATGAGGCTGATTGATTCTGACCATCACCACAGCAAATCAAAAAGTCCTTGGCATGTCCAAGACGTCGTCTTCATTTCAAATAGCTTGGCGAGGGCAGTCTTCCAGCCTCTTACATCCCCGGTGAATGTCAGGCCTGCATTTCAATCAACTTTTATTTCCAAATATACATTTCAGCAATTTTTCAGGAGCTGGGATGGGGGGTTTGAGAAAGGAGAGGGACGGCTATGTTACAGTTCAGGAAGGGTATAAAAGGACATTAATCATTCCCATGGAAACCTTCCCGTCAGCAAGTCAAACTGCTGATATTAATGAGCGTGTTTCATATTTCATTGAGTCTCTCCTGGTTTCAGCTGCTCCTTATGACTCAGCTGGCAAAACACAAAGCGGTTGCCTAAGTAGTATATGAAAGTCCCACAGATAGGTGCTAAAGGGCCACTGCAAGGCCCAGCCAAGTCCCCCCAGGCTTGGGGTGCCATGCTGGTGCCAACTCTAAACCCATCCATTATCCCTTTAACTACTGCCTGCAAACTGGGGGTAGGGTGCTCTGTGCGACTCACAGCTTCTCTAAGCTGTAAGAGGCAGAGAGGGTGGGTGTCATTCTGAGACAAGATGCTGAGAATGTATATCCAACAGTGAGGCGACTATAGAAAATGAAGATTTATTGTGACTTCAGCAGGATGCAACCCTTCAAAGACAAGGCTAGGGTAAGATTTCCTCACCTAAACTGGAGTACTGATTAGCACAGTTTTTGAAGTTAGAAGACAGGGGAGGGGCTAGGGTTGAGGTCAGTAATTCCTATCTCCTCAGCACCTCAACTGCAAACACATTTCTCCTCTTACAAACAAACTGGAGAGCCCGTTTCTTAATGCAGGATGCAAGCTAGCTCTTGCTAGGGCCTGGGATGCTCCTGTTCTCTGAACAGATCCTCTCGGGCACTTGGGACAACCAGATAGCCCTTAGCCGGCCGAGTGGTAAGGGAATAAACTGCCGAGGGAGGAGGCCCATCCTGAGGGATATCTTCTGCACAGTGGAGAGGCCTGACAAGTCTGTACCTAGAGAAAAGAACAGTGTCTTGGATGGCAGGCCCCCTTGCCGGCACTCCGTGTGTCTCCCTGTGCAGTGCTGGACAAAGGCTAGCCACCAAGTTGGCTAGAAGACAGGGCCCAGCCTTGGGGTTGGGGAGCCCCGAGCCAGTATCTGCCACACTCACCGAGAAGGGCAGTCTCTCCGATTGCATGCAATGGGCTGCACGGCAGGGCGCACCTTCCCTGCACAGTGGGTGGGGTTGACCTCTGTGCTGTTCAGGAGGCACCTCAGGCGGGGTTGCTGAACGCCCCTGTTACCGCAGGAGGCTGAGCAGGTTGCCAGTCTGTCCACGGACCACCAGTAATCTGTCACAGGAGGAGGATCAGAGGTGAAAAGAAGACTGCATTATTGCCCATGCTCTGTGGGCACGAATTGTTATGAATGAGGCTCTGTCAGTGGGCTCCATTCCCAACTTATGCAGGCAAGTGGCATCATCTCCAGGAGACTCAGTTGGCTTATCCGTAAAGGGAGTACAAAGCCTCTACCCTGTGAAGTTATTGTGAGCACCAGATATAATGAAGGGAAAGGGCCTAGCCCAGCACCTGGCGCCCAAAGAGTATTTAGAATCAGTGCCTCTGGTCCTTAATATTTTTAAGCACACTTCCAAAGTGCTTTTTCTTCCTAGTGGTTCAGCAGAAAGTGACTTTATTTTTCAACAAAGAGATATAAAAATATCACAAATAACTAACACTCATATTTATACGTGCACATTTGTGTTGGACTTTGTAGATGTTACTAAATGAAAAAAAACCCAGAGAGTTTTTTTCCAGAGAGTAGTCTGGACATGAGACAATGACGTAAGGGAGAAATTCAATTTCTTTGGATTTTCTTTTTGGGGGTCTGGGACTCACTGGTAGGAAAGCTGTTAAAAATAACTGCGGGCTGGTAAATTGGGAGTGCTTATTTGCAAGGTCGTATATTACAAATCTTGCAGATAGGCACTGGCTTCTGGTTTTCAGCAGAGAATGGCTGGTTGGCAAGAAAATGGAACATTTACTTTCCTGTCTTGAAAGCCAAATGGCAGGGGAGGATGTTTAAGGGGAAAACCCATTTGCTCAGAAAAATCTCCCTCCTCATGTGCTACACTGGCACAAAATTCTGTCCCTTCCCACAGAATACTCCATTTTAGAATGCATGCAAAAGAATTTTGCTTTCCCTTAAAATAATCACACACAGGCCACAGGTTAGAACTAGCCTACGGGAAACTTGAAAGCCTCACTTACTTTCTATTTAACATGGCCCACTTTGGGTTTATTTCTCACTGTTTTGGGCTCATTCACAACGCTTTCTTGGTGCAGCTAAAGCCAAGCCCCTCCCAAGGGCTTTCTGACCCGCCTGTGTTCCTGGAAGATTAATGCATGAGCCATCCAGTCTGTCTTTGATGGGGCCACAAGAAAGGTGCCTGCAAAACACTTAGCACGTGACTGCAGTTTAAGACTCTTTCGGACGATAAGCAGGTACTGGCACTGGCTTGAATCTCCAGGAGAGGAGGCAATAACCAAGCAGTTCTGATCAAGAGGTTATTTTTAAACAAAACCTACAGAGAAAACTTGCACATGTGTGTTTGCATGCACACGTGTGTGTGTCTGTGTGTGTTTCTTACTAAACAAGCATAAATGAAACTTTTTTTTTTTTTGACTCTGATATATCATGGTGTTTCTTTGGTCCACGGCAGCACCAACATTGTGAGGCAGAAGGGCCCATTTATGAAAGCAGCACTGACTTTTCCAGATTCTGCTGGGACGGAGCCTGGTGGCTCTTCTGAAGGGCCTCATTGTATGGAAACATGATTCAGCTTTGACTTTCATGCTCTAGGAACCACTGGAGATCAGAAATAATTTAGTTCTATTAGATAATTAGATTCTCAGGTCAACTTTCTTGTTCAAACAATAAGCCCAGCACCCAAAGCCTGAAGGGTTTCTTACCTTGGATCACCAAAGAGGCTTTTTGCACAAGCATTCCTGCCTCATTCTGTGCAAGGCAGCTGAATTCCCCTTGGGACCCGCCACTAAGATTTGCAACCTGGAGAATCTGTCCAGCTGCCAATATATGATGTGTCAGTCCTGGGACAGTGGCAACTGGCTGACCACCATGGAACCAGGTGATATTTGGGGTAGGATGACCTTTGATGGGACAGCCTAGAAGGAGAAGAGAAGAGAGAGAAGCCATTAATAAAGCCAAGAGGGACATATTCCTGACAAGTTCTTTTAGTGTCTCTGTGGCTCTAGAAGCCATGCATGCAGTGTAGCCCCCTTACCAGTGGCATTTTTCTTTTGCTTGCTATTTCCAAGCAAATAGATGTTTTTATTCTCTGGAATTCTGGGAAGGTGACTATTATTCATTCAATTAAGTAAAAATTCTCAGAGAATACAAACTGCTTATTTCTATGTCCTTGTAATTAACCTTTAAAAAATGAAGCAGTTAATATTCACTCATTGAAAAAATTTTCAAGTTAATTAGTTCCTACACTGATTTTCTACTGGAAGAAATCACTTCTTCAAATGTAGTGAGTTGGAAAAGATGCTACATAGTAACAGTAATCAATTTAATTGGTAAAAGTCTAGTATCTGCTACCATTTTACTCTTTATGTGATTTTCAAGCCAAAATTTTTTAACAGACTCTAGGAAAGCAATTGTAAACACCAATTTCATTTTTCTATCAGTCAAGAACCTTGGCCTTCTAACAGCTCTTACCAAGCCTGCATTTGGACATGTATGATATTCTAATTATCTACATAGTCATTAAACATACTTTGATACATTAAAATTCCAAAATATTAAGCTTAGATATTATGTCTACTCAAGCTTTTGTAGCATAGAATTATTAAAGTAAACTGATTGCTGCTGTGAGAAAAACCTAATTTTCTTTAAATTCAGAGTACTCGCTGAATTTGCTGTTGTGTCCTCAACAACTTAGTTTCCACAGAAAATTTATTTAGAAGCTCAAAACACATGGTAAACCAGTCAAAATTAAAGATACTGGCAGTTTTCCCTCAATTTAGTTACAGAAGTAACGATTTTGTGCCTACTGTTCTGGGGATAGATAAGACAGTGATGGTTATCTTCCTTCTTGCAAGGAGATCCTAGCTGGTATTGAATAAGAAACAAAGCACACTAATGAAACTGAGATGTAAGGCAGAAAATGATGAGATCTGTGAGACAAGAGAATGGCCACCTGCAATGGCCACCTAGGGATCTGTAAGAGAAGGAATTTTCCAATGTTGTCTTCTTTTCTATTCCAGGGTCAACACTATTAGAATTTATACTAGGAGGCAGAGCTAACACAGGGAAGGTCCTTAGAGATGATCTAGCCTACATGCCAGAGGAGGAAACTGAGGCCCAACGATGTTAAGATACTTTCCCACGATTAAGTGGCAGCCTTTCTGATTCCTTGCCTTGTGTTCTTTCCTTTCTATCTGACACTTGTATAGCTGTACACCAGCAAATTACTTAGCCTCCCTGTTATCTCTTTGCTTTGTCTGCTCATTCCTTTTGTCTCCTAATGCCCTAATTTCATATATACATATATACATATATACACATATACATATATACACATATACATATATACATATATACATATACACACACACTTTGAAAAAGGGCCCTGGAAAAATAACGCTGTAATTGACTGTATGAAGTTCAGGATGGGATACCACTGTTACAGAACCCAGTTCTTCATTCCTCCCTGTATTGACTCACTTTGCCATGTAACTTTGCAGTGGCCTTTCATGATGGGTGGGTTACATGTACTTCCCCACCTCCTGATTTGGGGTTTGGCTATGTGACTACTTTGGCCAATAAAATGAGTCAGATGTTACACTAACAATGAACAATATGAAAGGGAAATTAAGAAAACAATTCCATTTATAATATCAAAAAGAATAAAATACTTAAGAATAAATTTGACCAAGGAGATGAAAAACATGTACACTGAAAACAACAAAATGTTGCTAAAAAATTAAAACATAAATAGGATGCTATGTTCATGGTTAGAAAACTTAATATTGTGAAGATGTCAATAACCCCAAGTGAACTACAGATTCAGTGCAATCCCTATCAACATCTCAGTGACTTTTCTTTTTTTTTTTTTTTTTTTTTTTTGCACAGATATAAAAATCCATCCTAAAGTTTATATGGAATCTCAACAGATACTGAATAGCCAAGACGATCTTGAAAAAGAAGAACAAACTTGGGGTTTTCACACTTCCTGATTTCAAAACTTAGTAGAAAGCTACAGTAATTGAAACGGTATAGTACTGGTAAAAAAGATGTACATTATAGACCAACAGAACAAAAAAGAGAGTCCTAAAATAAACTCTTGCTTACGTGGTCAAATGATTTCCAACATGGATGCCAGGACCATTTCATGGTGCTGGGAAAACAAGACATCCACTTGCAAAAAATGAAGTTGTGTATTTACTTTATGCCATATACAAAATTAACTTAAAGGTATAAAACTCTTAAAACACAGGCAAGAGTCTCATGATATGGCATTTGGCAATGATTTCTTGGATATGATACTACACAGTTAACAAAAGAAAAAAATAAACTGGACATCATTAAAATTGAAAGTTTTTGTGTGTTAAAGGACACTGTCACCAGAGTGAATAGGCGACCCACAGAATGGGAGAAAATATTTGCAAATCGTGGATTTGATAAGGGATTAATGTCCAGAATATATAAAGAATTCCTACAACTCAACAATATAAACAGTCAAACTAAAAAAAAAAAAA